GGGTTCTGAGGTGCCACAGGATCTGGAACCATATATACTTCCAGGCTCCTCCACATCCTCCTCTGCACCCCTCCTCTCCAATTCACTCTTCCTACAATGCAATTTTACTCAAATTTTCCAGGAGTCGGTACTGACTGATACAGATGCATTGAAAAGGGGTGTATGTTACGCAGAAATGCCTTCAACTTCTAGGTTCTGTTCCTCCAAATTCCTTCCTCAGTCATCAGCCTGTAACATCCATAACAGTATAGTAATCACATGCCCTGATTTACCAAGAGCAGGCCTCATTTTGCCTGGCTAGATAATCATCCTTGTGGTCAATCAACGCCTAAGGGTCCTGCTTCCATAGTCTGGCCTTATGTGGTACCTGTCTCCTGTTACCTGCCCTTAAGCCCAATCAGCTTGCTTTCAACTTCTGGAAACATTGTACATTCCTCAACCTCAGGTATTTGCATTGGTTCCTTTTTGGTCCCCATTTCTTCCTCTTCACCTCCTACATTTCTCTACTTGACTCTTTGCTCACAAACAGGGGTGACATATACTCTTCTATGTGTCTTCCACAGCATTTAAAACAAATGTGGTGTTATACCTATTGGTTCACAGTTTGAGTAATATCTGTCGAACTGAGCAGATCATAAGCTTCTTTTCTCATGTGAGTCATCATGATACCCTTGGTGGCTAGATAAGGCCTAACCCATAGAAAATACTTGTTGAATGACTCAATGAGTGAATTCTATTGGTCAACAATGATAGGACATGTGTAATAGTACACAGGATTAAGATCATATATAAGTGTTAAGTCAAAAATGTGGACCCTGAATAATTCCTAACCCATATTCAGCCATACTAGAATTAGTAGGTGAAACACAACCTGCCTTCTTCCCAGAATCACCCTGGCACATAGGAATACCATTTTCATCTCTTCTCTCCAAACTACTTTCTTCACACAGGCCAAAATAATTGAACCCCAAGTTTGTAGCCGATCAGAAATCTAAAGTTACAGACACTTATACAATTGATCCTGTGCCATATTTAACACTTCAAATGGTGGATCATAAAAGATTAACATGTCTTTCACCCAGAACAATAGTCACCCAAATATTACTCAGTGCTGCCTCAATTCTAATGTAATCATAAAGGCAACAAAGCTTATGTTAACCTGAAACTGTATTCACAGTCCATCTCAGAGACTGCACAGGGCAAGAAAGATGTATTATTCTTTTCTACCTGATGATCTTATCAAGTTATGTCATACTAGTAAAGGATTTAAATACATTCTCAGGTTACTTAATGGCATCTCCTAGCTGCACATATTAATTTACAACCTCTTTTGGTAAGTGTTGCCAAAAACAGCACTATAGGAAGCAACATTTTCAATTGTAGTCAATTATCAGAAACAAATGTAAAATAGTATTATTTCTTATTCAGTTCCTTTCAAAGAAGCACACTCTTATTTTCATAGTTCTCCAAGTTTCCTTTAGTCCTCAGTATTGATCCATAACTTTACATGAAGACCTCCTTTGAATATCCACTTAAGTGTCATTTGATACTAACTGACAAGTGTGCCTGTATAGTCAGTCTGAAGTTCCTTAGGAAGCCTCAAGTCTACTATGCTGATATAGCAAACTCCCTCTACTCCTTTTTATACCATCACTCTTAAAGTTGCAACATTTACATGACCAGGTTTTAGACAAAGCTAAAACTTCAAGACCCATTTCACAAATACAACTTTATGAATGTGAAGCAAATTCCTGAAGTTTTCAGATGGAGATTTATAAACTGGAACCATTTCTCCACCTACAGGAGTAATGTATAGACCAATGGAGAGTTCTGCTGGTGCTGGCCATGTGCTACACTGTGAAAATTGCTGTGAGTTTTTAGCACACAGATTTGTAGCCTATTTGATCCACACCCTGTGTCCAGTTGATCACAGTCATTTTTTTCCTTATTATATAGTTGCCACATCAGAGTATTCAGGTTTCACATCCTAATGGATTACATTTTCACAGTGCCAAACAGGATTCTTTACAAGCCTTTAAAACTACTTATGTTGAAACTTTGAAAAGAACTTCAGCTAATGACTGGTTCTAATTCAAAAATGTAGCAGCAACGCAAACAGTGGATTTTCTGTATATTTACTATGACTAAATTTTTAAACAGGATTCTTCATTTAAGTTGAATAAGCATAAAATATTCAGCCTGGGCTTCTGAATAGTGTCAAAGTGCCAAAAGTGCAAGCAGACACACGCACCATTATTCTCCAAGGAATGCCTGCATATATGTTGTCTTCTGTTTTGTTTTCATAGTAACAAGAGCGTTTGTAAACACATCTCATGTAAAAGGATCGACAGATTCTGCCGTTGATTTCTCATTGTGGTCAAATGGCATCATTTCTGTGTTACGTGGTAAAAAAAAAAAATTTCATTCCATGCTTCACAGAAATACAGAAATGTTTTATTTATTTTAATAGTCTCTTACCAAACACCTCTGCAAGGATTCAATTAGTTAAAAGATCTACTAAATTTTAAATTTGCAATACCATTAACATACCTAACATTCCCTAAACTGTCCTCAAATGAATCTTAAATTAAGTTAATCTTGAACTTTATGTCAATGTAAGCATTCTTTAATTAAGTCCATCACACAAAATATAATCACAGAAACAGAAATATGCCTGCCAAGAAGTTAATTTGTTTTACACTGACCCATTCTCAAAGCAAGAACCCATCTCTATTTCTCAAAGATTCACCAATATAGGATTTTTTTCTGCCTGCATATGAGAAATATACTGCATATTTCAAACCTAGTGGCCAAAAAGATTATGACACTTGAAACACATTGTCATTATTACATTGCCTAGATATTGCCCTTTTCACTCAAAATAAAAACGCAGTTGTAATCTACTACCAGGACTTCCTAGGGTACCACTGGAATTCTCTCAGTATTGAAAATGAATATCCACTTCACTCAGAGGGAGAATGTAAACTGGCCGATATCCTAAAAGCAGACTCAAGCTCCTTATTATGCAATGTAATTGGTTAATTTTTTTGCTCTGGAACTCCTGTAAGATTTAAGACCATCAAGCACTTTCAGATTCTAAATACATAGAAACATATACAATATATGCAAATATTTAAAAGCCCACTTGCTCAAGGACACATAACAGCAAATATTACTGTCTCACTAGAGGAAATGTTTCTAATAAAGTTAAGTGGCTTTTTTGTAGGAGAAACTGATCATTGCAAATTAAATTAAAATGAATCTTATTAATATTTCAAGAAATTTCTGAGCTTGATTATTCACTGCGAAAGAAACAACTGTACTGAAAAGAAAAATCGATAGCCCTTGACCAGGGCTTATGGATATGCTAGAGAAACACACACACACACACACACACACACACACACACACACACACACACACACAGAGTCCTCCTGTGAATTACTGAAGTCTAGCCTTGGAGGTGGGAGAGGGTACACATGTTTTTCTGAAGATAAACCTAGTTATTATTTTTTTTAATGGCAGAAACGGAAGGAGAAAAAAATCAGTTCAAAATTTCCATTATAATGAAAGTACCGGAAACAAGCCTTTCTAAGCTCATTTTAGACCTAAATAACTGTGCGGGGGGGGGGGGGGAGGGTTCTGCAGTGTCAGTTGCACACACAGCTTCCTGTGTGAATCTGAAGCTATTACAGGTGTCCAGTGAGAACCTATCATCAGGAGATTCCTCCAGTCTCCTCCAGCCGCCTCCACTGCCCGCTTGCATCCCTCCCTCTCTCTCTCTCCCTTCTCTGCCCCCGAGGTTCAAGCGCCCACTTTCCCTTGGCGAAGCATGCAAAACGCTTTTCCGTTAGCGAGGACCGGATCCTGCAGTCCTTTTTAGTTAGCCGCTCTCAAGTCGGAGAGGGGAGCGCGGAGCCACTAAAGGAAACCCTCCTGGCCCTCTGGCTTTTCCTCCACTCGAGCCACGTCCCTGAAGGACAACACCTAGAGACACTTTCCAACCTTCTATCCGACCCCCTCCACCCCTCCTCCGCCGCACACCCCATGTCGGCGGGGGGGGCGGGGTGGGGGTCGCATTTCCTCCCGTCCTCTGCTGCACTGGATGTGTTATGTAAGAGACAGGACGCAGGAGGCACATGCGTACAAAGCAAGCGCACGGATCTGTGGTTAACAGCTGGGTGACAGAGCTGAGCTGAAGTGCCCCCCACACCGAATACGACAGACACCCCACACGCACCTCACCCCCGCACATGCACACGCGCGCGCACGCACACACACACACAGAGCAGCGTTTTCCTGTCTCAGCCCCACCACTACCCAGACGCACCGAAGGGCAAGGCGAGGGGTGGGGGTGAAGGGAGGTGAGGGGAGAAGCCGCGGCTGCACATCTGCCTCGATAGCAGCCGGCGGAGCCGCCGCGGCAGAGAGCCCCTCGTTAACCCCCTTCCTGTGGCTGCACCACGTCATGGAACATTCCCGGAACGGGCCAACGTTCCACCCACTTCAGGGAACAGACATAAAGACGCAGACCCAGCTCCCCATAGTGCACAGCCCCGACACACATGTCCCTTTCCCGATCCCCGGCCAGACGCCCAGACAAACACGCATGCAAACCGCCCCCACCGGTCTCCAGGAGCCCGGGTCCGGCCGGCGGCCACCGGAGCCGCGCTGCGGCCGGTGCACCCGCAAGGCGAGGGCGCCTCCGCCTGAACCTTCCATGGAGACAGTGCCCTCCTCTTGCGTTTCCTTCTTCCTTCCTTCTTCCTCCCTGCCTGCCTGCCTTCTTTCCTTCCTTCCTTCCTAGCTCACGAGGAGAAAGCAGTCATCCGAATGCCCACAGCCGAGCGCCTCGGTTGCGCTAGGTCGGCCGCAGGCCGGCGGCCCGGCCCTCGCGCCGCCCGCCCGGCCCGCCGCGCCGCCCGCCCGCCCCGCGCCGCCCCGCGCCGCCCGCGCCGCCCCCGGCCCGCGCCGCACGCCGCGGCCCCCTCCCCCGCTACCTGACAGCGGGCGGCCCGCGGCCGCGGCAGCCGCAGCGGTGGCCGGGCGGTGCGCGCCGGTGCACGTCGCTCATTAGTAACCAGGCACATTCCTGCCTCCGGCGCTCCCGCGCGGCGCCCTCCCCCCCAGGACATTACGCAAAGCAGCCTCCCCTCATCTGCATAGATCCCCGGCCAGGGTATTCCCCGCACCTCCCCGCGCGCCGCCCGACCCCCGCCCCGCCGCGGGGTCTCCCCCATCCCCGCCTCTCTCCGACCCTCACCCTCGGGAACCCCCGGACCCGCCGGGCCGGGGACGCGCGCCCTCGCTGCGGGGCCCCCCGGAGTTGAGCGACGGCGATTTGTGGATAAAGTGAAACAAGCGCCCCGCGCCGAAGGAGGCAGGAAAAACCCGGCACCGAGGCCACTTACCGGGCCGAGGAGGGACCCAGATTCCCGCCGCGCCGCGCCGCGCCGCTCCGCCGGGGCCGGTCCGCCCGCCACGCACCCCGGGGCCGTGCACCCCGCGCCCCGGAGCTGAGGTGTGGAGGCAGATGGGGCACGATCCCCGAGACACCTCCAAGTTGCTCGGGGGCTCCGGGGAGCTGTGTCAACGTCCAAGACACAACTTGGCAAATACTTGTGCCACAGTCGCCGGAGATGGGTTATTTTTTTCCTCTCTGATGTTGGGGTGCAGTGGGAGTTTTCTTTTCTTTTTCGTGTTTTGGGTGGCTGTGTTGGGGTGGTGGTGGTGTTGTTTGGCGGAGACCCTTCGCCGCCGCGGAGAGACAGCGCTCGGCGGCGCCCCGCTCCCCGGCTCTCCACCCCCTCACCTCCAGCCCGCCTCCCGCCGGCCGGCCGGCCGCCCGCCCGCCTCCGGGCCGCGAGCCCCTCGGGCGGCTGTCAGCTCCCGGGGGGCCGCGGGGGTGACAGGGGCGAGGAGGAGGGCGCAGCTCCGGGGAAGGGAAGAGGGGGAGTGGGGAGGGGAGGAGGGTCCTGGCAGCCGCGGCGGCCGCTCACCTGGAAAGTCACCGCCGTGGAGGAGGAAGAGGAGGGCGAGGCGGGGAGGAGAGCCCCCCGGTGCCCGCGCTCCCGCTGCCGCGGCGGCCGCTCCTCGCCGAGGCTGAGCGTGTCTGGTGGGGGGGGTCTGGTAGCATTTCCTTAAGGACACCGGGAGGGCGGGCGCGGAGGGAGGGAAGAGATCCCGGCCGCCAGCCCAGGCTCCTCTGGCCTTTATTTATATATTTATTTTTTTCGGACACTGTATGGACCCCGGGGCCGGGGGGGGGGGGGGGGGGGGAGGAGGAGGCCACTACCGGGCCGGGGCGGGAGCCGCGGGGCCCGGGCCGCAGTTGTCTGCGTGCGGGAGCCGCAGCGGCCGCCTCCCCTCCCGGCGGTGGACGCACCGGGTTATTCCTGGCAACGCCTCCCCGAACAGAAGTTACTAGGAGGAGTGCGCGGCGAGGGCGGGCGGGGAGGGGAGGGGGGAGGCGGGCGAGGGGGGGGAGGGAAAGGAGGAAGAGGGAGAGACTCAGCCAGCGACGTCATCGGATCCCCCAGCGCGTCCCGGGGAGGGAGGCCGAACTAGAAAAACCAGTCTGGAGCCGGCCGGGTTGGTGCGGCGCCACTGGGCGACCCGGAGAGCCGGGCCCGGCGGGGTCGTGGCCCCCTGGGGGTGGGGGGGAGGGAAGGAAGGGAAGACCCTTCCCCTCCCCCGCCGCGCTCTCGGGGGACGGGGAGGGGGGGGAGGCTGGGAACTCCCCGGAGACCCGGTCTCCGCTAGCCAGGCAGAAACCCCGGGGCGTCTCGTGGAGCCTGAGAATTTCCCTAAAGGATGTGGGAACCTCGTCCCTAGCTCCGCCCACCCACCCCACTTCCCAGGTCACGGCTCCCAGCCTTCCACACACACGGGGGGCGGGGGGATCTCCGAGGGCCGGGCGGCCCGCATTGTCCTTTCATATTGCTTTATTATTTGGGTCTGGGCACCTCCAGACGCTCTGCTTCTCCCCTCGCGCCCCCCTCCTCCCTCCCCATTTTATCCTCCGTCACCAAGAACAAAAATCACCGGACACTCCGGGCTCTTTGTTTGGGGCGCTTTGCAAAGTGTTTTACTGGCGTTGTTTGTGTGTCTCCCCCCCCTCCTCGCCCCGTGTCCCCCGCTTGGGGTCGGCCCCTCCCCCCTGTGCGCCCCCGGGGCACCCAGCTCCGGGCACGCGCTCGCCCCCCCCCCCCCGGCTAGTGGTATGCACATAGAGTTGGGGCAGCGTGGCGCGGGGCAGTGCTGGTCTGGTGACGGGGATCCCCCCCCCCCCAGCCCTGGGGGCGAGCTGCCCCCGCCGGCTGCGCGCTCCGGCGTCCTCGGAAGGGACCGGAGTGAAATCACTGCCAGCGCCGGGAGAAGCGGGGGGGATGGGGGACGCGAGGGAATCCCAGGCGAGTGAGGCCCGGGACTCTGGCTTCCTCTCCAGTCCGGCGACACCCGGGGGACACCGGGGCTCCCTCGGGCCGTTACCCTGCAAGCGTGGACTCGTGTGCACCCTGGGTCGGGGAGTGGGGGGTGGAGTGGAGGGAAGGGGAGAAGTTCCCGGGAGGCCTCAGTGCCCGAGCGCGGGGAGTAGCTGCAGCCCACGCGGGACGCTGCGGCGCGCCTCCTCCGGGTGGTCTCTCTTGCGGGGTCGGGGGGGGGGGGGTGAGGACCCTGCAATCGCCCTTGTGGGGCGCCCAAGCCGCCGCCGCACCCCAGCATGCACAAACTCAGCCCACTCCCGGCCGAGACTCCACCGCCGGCCCCGGGAGGAGTAAACAAGAGACGCACCGGCGTTGACCTGGCGCGACCCGGCTTTCTGGCCGGGGTTCCCCCGGAGCAGGTGACTCCGTGGGAGGGGTGGAAATGAGGCTCTGGAATCCCGGGCCCCAGCCGCGCACGGTGCTCCGACTCCCAGCGCAGGTATTTCGCCCGTCCGGGCGGAAGGTGTGGCGTCTCCGGTGGCAGATGCCGCAGCGAGGTCTAGCAAACGCGCCCAGACTTTAAAATAGGTCCCCTGCCGGGTCATCCGACGGGAACGCGTCCGCGGGGCGGGCGGGCCGCGGGGAGCGCGCCGCTGCTTTCGTTTTGGGGTTTGGTTTTGCTTTTCATTTCGACCTATAATCAGTGGGGTGTTGTTTGTTTCTGGGGGGAAGAGAATGGGGGTCCCTTTGCACTGATGAGTGCTCTGATGTTTGCTCTGAAATAAAAGCGATCCATTCTTCATAGATTTAGAGGTTTGTTTTGGTTTTTGTTTTGTCTTTCCGATTGAGAACCATCTGAATGATTGGTAATACATTCTTCTAAATTTCTTCTTTTAGGGCCTACTTCCAAGAAAGCTGTTCCTGCCATTGTACAAGTTTTTTTTTTTTTTTTAATATTCAGCCTTTTAAAAAATTAACTTCGAGTCCTTATAATAGGAAAAAAAAATCTCCCCACCATCATTTTCTTTTCAACGTACGTCGCTACATTTTTAAACATCTTATTTAAAGCTGGAAATGTAATTTTCAGAATGCTTTTTAACTTTCGAGCCCACCTGCTACATACACCCAGAGCTCATTTTATTTAATTGCTTAATAGAGAAGATTAAGCTGTTTCTTTAAGAATCTTAATTTCACTTCAACACACACAACAGCAGCTGCCCAGGCTCTGAGATACTCAGCAAGTAAAGCCACAGAGTTTGCTTCAGTGGAATGAATGGTAGAAACCTTCCATGCCTCTTAAAAGACTAGATTCGCTAGTATAATGTGACTATTAAGATATTCAGGTAACGGTATAATTAAAATAATTTATAAAGCAAATAGACCTCAACTATGGTGATCTGATCCCACTGTAAACAGACTTTTAGTCGAACTTGGACACTTTTTGAATGTTTACTTTATACTTGATGGTTTCAAAACTATTAAAATCTAAAGAAGATAGGCTGGATTAAATTTCAGAGGAAATAAAACTATTTCTGAACATGTATTAACAACCCTTCTGCTGGGAAGAGTCACTATCTGTAAGTAAATATATTGTTGCCCTGTCTCTGATGTGACCAAATATTGCTGGTGGTGCCAGAGAGCCACTTACACCCCAGCCCAGCGCAAATCAGTACCAGCCATTTCAGAGCCAGATGTCTCCGGGACTCTGATAGGGGGCACTGTTGCCAAGAGCCAATGTCTCAGGCCTGTAATCCTAGCTACTCAAGAGGCTGACATCTGAGGACAGAGGTTTGAAGCCAGGCTGGGCAGAAAATTCCATGAGACGCTTATCTCCAATTAACCACTAAAAAGCCTGAAGTGGAGCTGCTCGTGCTCAATAGGTAGAGCTCCAGCCTCCAGAGAAAAGCCAAGGGACAAAGCTCTGAGTTCAATCACTAGTACTGGTACCCAGCACCCCAGTAAAAGCACTATTTGAGAAGATGCAGAGTTCAAGGCCAGCCTGGGATGTATAGCAAGGCCCAGGTAAGATGGGGATACATAGACATTACAAGATGGTCTTAAAAATCAAAAGAGGGGAAGAGAAGGGAAGGGAGAGGAGGGAAGGAAAGGGGAGGTGAGTGGAAGAGGAGGGTCGGGTGTTTGGTGAGGTTGCCTCTTCCTGTAGGTCCCGCTGGCCTCCTCTTGTAGGTTTTCTCTTGGCAAGACCTTTCCCTTCCAAAAGAATCTCCCTTCTGACACATATATTATGACCCAATCATATCATCCATATTTGGCAGATGCCCAATCAACCTCCAAAGCCCTAACTGGCATTAGAAAACGCTGTGTGTGCTGCTCTAAGAAGCTGTGGGAGGTAAAGCTGACGGGGCATAGAGGGCCCATTAGGACACTAGCATGGAGCATGAGTAGCTAGACGGGACTTCCTCCATTTCTGTCCCTCTTATTACTTCTCAGCTTCAAAGGCAAGGAAAATTTGGTAATCCCGATTATAACGTATGAAGAAAGAAAAAGAATTAATTACCATGGGCAGTGTGATGTTTTAAGGAGTGTTGTAAGAAAATCACTTTGAACTGAAATGATCTTCATTCAGAAACTATTTACCAAGTGCCTAATATGTGCTCAAGTCAGAGAAT